CGGCGTGGTGCAGCCCGGTGCAGATCAGCGCGGCGTGGTGCAGCCTGGTGTAGATCCACGTGTTTTGATGAGGCCTGAACCAGACAGGCGTAGTTCAGAACCTGCTAGGACAGATAGGCCGAGTTTGGTACAGTCTGTTGTAGATCGGCGTAGTTCAGAGCCCTTGCCGGCAGATCGGCGGGGTCTGGGGCAGCCTGGGGCAAGTGGGAGAGGTTTAGCACCTCCTGGAGCGGCTAGGCAGAGTTTACTACAGCCAGGGGCAGATCAACGTGGTTTGGTACAGCCTGGAACAGACCAACCAGGGGCAGTCCAGCCCGGCCCGGTGGAACCAGGGGCAGTCCAGCCCGGCCCGGTACAACCAGGGGCAGTCCAGCCCCGCCCTGTGCAGCCAGGGGCAGTCCAGCCTGGTCTGGTGCAACCAGGTGCAATTCAACCTGGCATGATGCAGCCAGGTGCAATTCAACCTGGCATGATGCATCCAGGTGCAATTCAACCTGGCATGATGCAACCTCTTGGTGCAGGTCAGCCTAGCTTGATTCAACCTGGTGTATATCCACCTGGTTTGGCACGACTTGGTGCAGGTCAACAAGGTTTAGTGCAACCTGGCACAGGTCAGCCTGTTTGGGTTCAACCGAGCACAGATCAACATGGCTGGATACAACCTGGTGCATTTCTGCCTGGTTTGGTACAACCTAGTGTAGCTCAACATGGTGTGGTACAACTTGGAATGGATCACCATAGATTGGTACAACCAGGTGCAGTTCAGCATAGGCTGGTACAGCCAGATGCATATGCACCTGGGTTGATGCAACTTGGTGCAATTCAGGATAGTTTGGTACAACCTGAAATACATCAGCGTGGTTTTGTGCAGCCTGGTGCAGATCAGCTTGATATGGCACAACCAGGTGCAGTCCAGCCAGGCCTGGTGCAACCAGGTGCAGTCCAGCCAGGCCTGGTGCAACCAGGGGCAGTCCAGCCAGGCCTGGTGCAACCAGGGGCAGTCCAGCCAGGCCTGGTGCAACCAGGGGCAGTCCAGCCAGGCCTGGTGCAACCAGGTGCAATTCAACCTGGCATGGTGCAACCAGGTGTAGATCAGCGTGGCCTGGTGCAACCTGGGGCATTTCCTAGTGGTTGGGCACAGCCTGAAACATACTCACCTGGCTTGGTTCAACCTGGTATAGGTCAATATGGTTTGGTTCAGGCAAGAGCTGATCAATATGGTTTTATGCAGCCAAGTGAAGCACAACATGGTTTACTCCAACCTGGTGGAGATCAACATGGATTGATGCAACCTGACATAGATCGACTTGATTTGATGCAACCTGGAATGGATCATGGTGGTTCAGTACAACCTGGTGCAGATGAGAGTAGCTTAGCCCAACCTGGAATGGGTCAGCAGGGTTTGGCACAACCTGGCATGGATCAGCGTGATTTGGCACAACCTGACTTGGCACGACCTGGAGCACTTCCACATGGCTCAGTGCAACTTAGTGCAGACCAGTCTGGCTTGGCACAGCCTAGAGTATACCAGAGTGGTTTGGTGCAGCCTGCCATGGACCAGCATGGCTTAGCACAACCTAGGATGTATCAGTATGGTTTTGTGGAATCTGGTGCAGTTCAGCCGAGGCTGGTGCAGCCTGTCGTGGATCAGCGTGGCCTGATGCAGCCTGGAGCAGTTCAGCCGAGGCTGGTGCAGCCTGTCGTGGA